CATTTTTCTAAGAATTGCAATGCATACAAATAATGGAATGATAAAGTTGAAAGATTGGAGGAACTTGACAGATGTATCAGGTGTTTAGGTAATCACAATGTAAAGGATTGTTATGCCAAATTAAACTTCTGTTATCAATGTCACAAAGGAAGACACCATATAGTCATGTGTAAGGGTCTATATGATAATGTTGATAATAATGATAATGTTGACAATCCTGACACAACAGTAGCTAATGTAAAAATTGCTGCTAATCTTAATAATGATGGTTTTGCTGAAGTAGCCTTACCTGTGTTACAGGTAAAAATTGATGATAAAAGGCATAAATAAAAAAATGTAACTGCATTATTGGACCAGGGATCCCAACGTACGTTCATAAAACGTAAATGTCTTGATGGTATGAAAGTACAGATGGGAGATCCCACAACTTTAAAATTATCTGGTTTTCTCTCAGATAAAAGAGCTCAATTGTATGACACTGTTTATGTAACTGTCAGGTTGGGCAATGAGAAAAAACGTGTTAATGCAGTAATTGTAGATAGACTTCCTGAGAAAATATCTACAGTAGGGCTTAGTAAAGCTACAGAAAGACTCTCACATTATGTAAATTTAGCACCTTCAGGTGTAAGTGATGATTCTGTAGGCCCAATAAATATTTTGATAGGTAGTGACTATTATGCCTCCTTTGTAAAGGTATGGTAAAGAAATGTGGTGTCACCCTTTTGAAGACTGCAGGAGGCCATGTAATGTATGGTAGGATTCCTCGTAATAATAATTCATGACTAGAGGAAACTACAAATACCATAACTGTGTGTCTTACTCATGAAATCGTACCCCAGTATAATTCTTCCATAGAGGATGGTGTTGAGCCAGTGCATAAATTGTGGGAATTAGACAGCATTGGAATAAATGTAAATGAAGAAAGTCCAGACGATTCTTTTACTCAGGAGCAATACCTGAGAGATGTAAAATTTTAATCTGGACATTACTGGGTACGACTTCCGTGGAGACTGAACCATCCAGAATTGCCCACTAATTACAGAATGGCATATGGTCAATTAAAGGCTCAGCTCCGCGAACTGAGTAAGACATCAGAATTGTTAACTGCCTATAATGATATAATTGATGAGCAGTTAATTAATAAATTTATAGACAAGGTACCTCCTGAGCAAGCCAAAATTTATTTGCCCCATCACGGAGTGAAGAAGGATTCTAAGACCACTCCTTTGAGGATTGTGTTTAATTGTAGTGCCAGGAGTAACAAAAATGTACCTAGTTTAAATGACTGTTTGATGACAGGTCCGTCGTTGACGGAAAAATTAGGAGATATCTTACTAAATTTCCGAGTGAAGTACTATGCCTTTACGGCTGACATAAGTAAAGCTTTCCTAAGAGTGGGTTTACAAGAGGCTGACCGGGACTGTACCAGCTTCTTATGGCCTGAGAATCCTAGTGACCCACTTAGCCCTCTGAAAACCTTTCGCTTTAGGAGCGTATTATTTGGTGCTACATCCAGTCCGTTCCTACTTCAAGCGACGATAAATGCACACTTTAAATGTATGGAAAGTCCATTGAGTAAAGTAATGAGCAAACAATTTTATGTGGATAATTTCCTGGGTGTGACGTCAACTGAAGAGGAACTGTTAATGACTTATGGAGAGGCTAATGAAATAATGCAAAGTGCAAATATGCCTCTGAGGGAATGGAATAGTAATTCGTCCAAATTAAAGGACAAAATAAGTAAAGATTACCCTGGAGATGAAGTGCCAATATGTAGTAATGTATTGGGATTAACTTGGGATACTGAGAGAGATTTGTTAATGTTAAAACCTAATAATTATAGTATGCCCAGTAAATTAACTATGAGAGTTTTGCTTGCTGAAGTTTCCAAATGTTTTGATCCACTAGGTTTAGTGTCACCCCTTACTATAAGAGGAAAATTATTAATACATGAAGCATGGAAACTTAAATGTGCTTGGGATGAAATTCTACCTGAGGAATTCATTAACAGGTGGGATGAATTAATTGGTGATTATGAGAAAATTCCAATGTTGGAGTTCCCACGCCAGGTGGCCAATCCAGATGGAAAAAATGTACTCCACGTTTTTTGTGATGCTTCAAAATTGGCATATGGAGCAGTTGCTTACCTTCAATGTAATAGTGTTATCTCTCTTGTTATGTCTAAGGCTAAAGTGTCTCCAATTAAATCACATACCTTCCCTCAGTTGGAATTAACAGCCATTTATGTAGGTGTCAAATTAGCTAATTATATAAGAAATAAGTTGCAGGAGATAAATATTAGCCACACTGTAATTTGGTCTGATAATGAGGTATCCTTATAATGGATTCGTAATGGAAACAGTAAAATTGTGTACATACAAAACAGAGTCGCTGAAATTAATCAGATGCAAGAGAAGTATAATAGTTTGGGTCAGCATGTGTTAACATTTAATCAAATACCCGGTGAGGAGAATCCAGCTGATTTCTTGTCTCGAGGTTTACCTTATGCTAAATTTGTAAATGCTGTATCATGGTTTAAAGGACCGAGCTGGTTGGTAAATAAAGCTAATTGGCCTGTACAAAAGGCGTATATTGCTCCTGTTGAAATTACTGTGACCACCGCTCCAATAGTTCGTCCTCACTTAGCCATTGATATAAATAGGTATTCTTCTTTACCCAAACTAATCAATGTAACTAAGTTGGTGTTTAAATTTCTAAACAAGATGAATATTTCATATAAGTTTTCACATCCTCTTGAATATTGGATAAAGAGGGTACAGGAGGAAATCTATGGAAATGAGATTAAATTGATAATGGAAAGAAAAATTGTGAAAGGTTCCATAATAGAGAAATTGGGGCTGTATTTAGAGAACAATATAATTAGGTGCAGAGGTAGGTTACAAAATGCTGAATTGGGTGATTATGCTAAACACCTATCTTACTGCCCAAAACTCATCATCTAACAAATTTGATTGTTCTAAATGCCCATAAAAATGTAATGCATTGTGGGGTACAAGATACCTTAAATTGTATTAGGGAAACTTTCTGGATTCCACAAGGACGGCAAAGTGTAAAAAGGGTGATTAAATTTTGTGTAATATGTCGCCGTGTGGATGCCAGATCCTATATGTACCCAGGTCCTCCACCATTGCCAAAGGAGCGTGTACAATTAGTGAAACCATGTGATGTAACAGGTGTAGACTATAGTGATCCAATAATTTTAACAGGTACGTCAAATGGTGTTTCCACTGAAAGTGTATGTTTGTTTGTTCACCTGTACTGCTACTAGGGCAGTTAATTTAGAAGTGGCACAGGACTTGTCTGCAGAACAGTTTATACAGCTGTTTCAAAAATTTGCAGCTAGGAGATCCTGTCCGAGATTGATGATTTCGGATAATGCCACAAATTTTGTAGCAGGTGCTCAACACTTGATAGAATTAAATAATAGTAAAGATGTTCAATCTCTGTTAACCCAGCGAGGGTGTACCTGGAAATTTATTACTCCTAGAGCCCCTTGGCAGGGGGGCTGTACGAAAGACTGATAGGCACAGTGAAGAGGTGTCTCTGCAAAGTACTACACCGGAAGAGAATTAATTTGGAAGAATTCCGTGCAGTGTTAGTGGAGGCAGAAAATCGTATAAATAATAGGCCTCTCTCGTACATGAGTGATACACCTGATGCAGATGTATTAACACCTTCTCACCTAATATGTGGAAAGAAATTGGAAGCTGCCCCTGTCTATAGAGATAATCCGGAAGAAAGTGATGAAGATTACAATGATGCGGCAGTGTTGTGGGATAAATTTAAAATGTTAAATAAAGTAATTGATCATTGGTCTAATGTGTGGCGTAAGGAATATCTTCTTACACTACGTGAACACTTTTATGGTACGACAGAGGCAGTAAATCGACAGAACATTCAACCAGGTGACATTGTGTTGATTGATACTGAACAACATCGAACATTGTGGCCTTTGGGCAAAGCATTGACATTGTACCCAGATGCACAAGGTGTTGTCAGGAATGTCAAAGCGTTGTGTCGTGGCCAGGAAAGTTTACACACAATTAATAAATTGATTCCCTTGGAATTAGGTGTTCAATCAAACGTAAATGAAAATCTGAGGGAAAGTGACACGAGTGATATGGAAGATAACGCTGACCAAGTGATGCCGGAAAATGAAATCGTAGTAAGACCTACTAGGAGAACAGCCACTCAAGCCAGAACCGGCTGGAATCGTCTCCTAAAGGAAGGAGTAATTTGAGTCATTTAGCAACGAACTCTGGCCAGCCGCAGTGTGGAAAATACTGTATATATTTTCTGGAAATACGGTAATTTATAGGTAAATAGATGCTCTATATTGTACTTTTAAAAGAAGTATTTTATCGAAAAAAGAACAGACACTCGCCATCTTGGTTTTGAATTTTGTACAAACGTTGGTGTAATGGGAAGAATTTTTCGTGCTCTAGAGGTTAAAATTGTGTTGACACCTCTCAAATAGGAGGCGAAATTGGTGGAGGTTCATTCCTGCATAACTTGAGATATCAGACGACTGGACAAGACAGCTCCAGGAACCTCAGATAAGCTCTCTAGATTTGTGTGTAATTCTGGCCAGCATTATTTTCATAGATTTAGTTAGAGTGAGGTTTTCTGAGTATGATACACATTAATCTCCAGTCAAATTGGTGAGTGATATTAAGATATATTTTCCTTCTCTTATGTAATTGTGTATATATATAACCATTTATTATTTTTAATATACAGCCCACTAATTTATATATTTACCAGTATTCCTGGTGTATGTATATTTCATTTAATTAATAGGTCCAGAGCAACTTGTGGTTATGACAGTGGTAGGTATCGAAGGGGGACATTGTTTGCGACCTAGGTGTCCCAAATTCCTACTTGTCTATGTAACATTGATAAATAATAATTACCTTTGTTATCATTTACTGTTATGTACATAATTAGTTACATTCAGATAAATGCAATTTTCCACAACTGTAGTTTTGTTTATAATGAAGTTGATTTGTTTAAAACAATCAAGAAAATTATACACAAAAAGTGTCGATAAGCGACCAGTCTCGGATAACACCAGGAAGAGACACGATAAGATAAAGGTGGACGTAAGTCTATGTTGGTTACCAGCACTGTTCTCCCAGCTGCTGCCTCGAACACTGTTCTCCCAGCTACTCTCGAGCACTGTTCTCCCAGCTGCTGCCTCGAGCACTGTTCTCCCAGCTGCTGCCTCGAGCATTGTTCTCCCAGCTGCTGTCTCGAGCACTGTTCTCCCAGCTGCTGTCTCGAGCACTGGTCTCCCAGCTACTCTCGAGCACTGTTCTCCCAGCTGCTGTCTCGAGCACTGGTCTCCCAGCTACTCTCGAGCACTGGTCTCCCAGCTGCTGTCTCGAGCACTGGTCTCCCAGCTACTCTCGAGCACTGGTCTCCCAGCTACTCTCGAGCACTGGTCTCCCAGCTACTGTCTCCTCGTAACCATCTCCACACACCAGCTACCATGTGAGTCAAGATTTAAATTCTTTCTATAGTTTAAAGTAACATCCCAAATTAGAACATTTTTCTTAGATCCTAAATGAAGCGTGTATTATATAAGAAAATTACATACATAACATAAGAAAGAAGGAACACTGCAACAGGCCTACTGACCCATGCGAAGCAGGTCCATGCCACCCCCCTGGCCTAGAACAATGACCACCTATGTTGTTGTTGTAGGTTTGCCGGTACTTCCGACCCGGGTCTTCTCCAGATGGCGACCCGGCGGTGGCCTCCCGGGCTGGGGGTGTCGTTCATCTGTATTCTTTCTTGGGGCCCTTCGGTTGGAGGGTGATTTCTTCTTCTGTCTTGCGGTGACTCCCCAAGTGGGAAGTGTCTTCTCGTTTAGCATCTTCAGCAGCATAGGAGGGCGGAGGCAGCAATTACAGGGTTTAGCAGGCAACAAAGTGCTGGGGAAACTTGTCTTCACGATTGATCATTGACAGTCCTGCTAGGTGAGGGTACCGTCTTCGACAGCCCCATTCTGGAGAGTCCTGAATTTCTTCCTTGTGGTGTAGTCGAGTGCCACAAAGCGGTGACTTTTTGAGAGTAGGTTGATCAGGGATTCAGTGGTGAATGATCGAGTTGAGTCGCAGGTGAACTTGACTGTCCCGTTGTGGAGGCGTTGAATAATTTCTGGAGTGTACATTGCGTTCTCATTCTGGTTGGTTGTGTAGAAGTATACACCAGGTAAGCACTGGACTTCTTGTGAAGGAGTGGCGGTAGTACGTAGGGATGCATCCCAAGGCTCTTGTGTTTTAACCTTCTTGGCTGGTGGCTGAGACGATTGACATGAGGCGTCTGATAGGTCCGTTGTGACGGAGGTGGAAGCAGGTGCTGGTGGACTCTCATTGGTGGAATCGGTCGGCGCCTCAATGGTCTCTGATTGGTCCATCTCTGTGTCGGGAGGAAGGTGTGGGAGTGGTGGAGCAGCGGTAATGTTGGCGACATTTGCAGTGGATTTTATGATCTCTGTGGAAAGTGGAGATGCAGGGAATGTGAAACCAGGCATGTTGCTGAGCTTGAAGAGTTGGTTGATGGTGGTGTTGAGGGAACCAGGTTCAGCTACATTCTGCACATGAGCATACATGATGCAGTAAAGAATCTTGGTGGAGTCGCCAGCAAGAGCTGGCGAAGAAGTGGTAGATGCAGCTTGCGTGGCTTGAAGAATCTTGGTAGTATCTGCTTGAAGCTTGGTAATAGCAGCATATGTAGTCGCTTGTGCAGTGTTTTTTTGTTGTTGTTGGAGTTGTTTCTTAAGTATATCTCGTCTGGTTGAGCACTTGGCACCAAGAGTATGGTGATCATTCTTTCAGTTCAAGCATTTAGGTGAAGAGGCAGTTGTGCACGTCTTGGCCGCAGGTGGAGCAGAACTTCTTATTCTTGGCAGGGCAGTCTTTGGTGGTATGCAGGTATGAGTAACAGTTGGAACACTGTGGAACTTGATGGAATTTTTCTGTTTCGATTGATGATTGATGTGGAAGTAGTGAATAGCCAGTCCCTCAACGAGAGCTCTGGCTGCCATGTTGACGTCACTGAAGGTGACCTTTAGCATGGAGGAGGCATTGTGTATTTTGGTAATGAATTCCACCTTGGTCCAAGGGTTCTGTGCTTCAATAGACGACTTGATTTCTTCGGTAGCCTGGGCAGTGATGAGCCTGTCGAGTCTCTTGAGGAACACAGTTCTCCTGGCTCTCAGAGCTGGGGAAGTCAAGACAATAAATCTCTGATCTCGTAGAGTGGTTGTAGCAGTGGTGGTAGTGAGTTTTTCAGCCTCTTTGTCGTCAGTGCAGACGACAACGAAGGTTTTTTTGAGAGACAGAATCACATTAAACTTGACTTGCAGTCTGCCACTGACGACAGCTGCCAGTGCTAGCTTGGACGAGTCATTGACTGTCCCACTCTCTGGTTTGATCTTTACCCTGTTCGAGAAGTGCATCGTGAAGTGTGATACGTCTGCTGAATGACCACCTACTCAGGTCGCTTCCACTTAAGAAAGGAGCATGGCACCAGACCTGGTAGCCCAAGCTAGTCATGTTCAACTCACACCCATCCACACACCCACTCATGTATTTATCCAACCAATTTTTAAAACTACACAAGGTCTTAGCTTCTATGACGGTACTCGGGAGTTTGTTCCACTCATCCACAACTCTATTACCAAACCAGTACTTTCCTATGTCCTTCCTGAATCTGAACTTTTCCAACTTAAAGCCATTGCTGTGAGTCCTGTCTTGGCTAGATATTTTCAGCACGCTATTTACATCCCCTTTATTTATTCCTGTTTACCATTTATACACCTCAATCATATCCCCCCTAATTCTACGCGTTTCTAGAGAGTGCAGATTCAGGGCCCTCAGTCTGTCCTCATAGGGAAATTTGCTTATGTCGCTATTTATTCCCTCATCTATATCGTTTATGTAAATTGTGAACAACAAGGGGCCCAACACTGACCCCTGAGGAACACCGCTCGTGACGTGCCCCCATTCTGATTTCTTCTCATTTATGCAAACTCTTTGCTGCCTATTTGTCAGCCATGCCTCTACCCAGGAAAAAATTTCTCCTCCTATTCCGTGTGCCTTAAGTTTCCTCAAAAGTCTCTAATGTGGAACTCTATCGAAAGCCTTACTGAAGTCCATATACACATTATATTCATTACCATGATCTACCTCCTCAAGCACATTAGCGAAAAAAAGTTAGTAAATTCGTAAGACAGGAACACCCCTTTGTAAAAACCGTGTTGGGATTCAATTATCAATTTATGCCTACCAAGATGGTTACAAATTGCCTCGGCAATTATTGATTCCATAAATTTTCCCACTGTGGAGGTAAGACTTATTGGTCTATAGTGCGAAGCTAAGAACTTGCCACCTGCCTTGTAAATAGGTATTACATTCGCCATATTCCACTTATCAGGTACTATGTCAGTTTGTAGTGATATGTTGAATTTATTAGCCAAAGCTATCTAAGTTCCTCTTTACATTCCTTTAACACCCTTGCAAACAGTTCATCAGGACCTGGGGATTTGTTAGGTTTTAGTTTCTCTATTTGTCTGAGGACCATGTCACTAGTTACTGCAATCGTGCATAGTTTATTATCGTCCTGTTGTACATAATTTATTATTTCTGGAATTCGCTAGTATCTTCCTGAGTAAAAACTGAGAGGAAATAAGAATTGAAAATTTCACACATATCCCTATCACTGTCAGTGATCTGACCAGAGATACTCTTAAGTGGGCCTATCTTGTCTCTAATCTTACTTCTGTATACATGAAAGAACCTTTTGGGTTAGTCTTTGAATCCCTTGCGACCTTAGCCTCATAATCCATTTTAGCTTTTCTTATTCCTTTCTTTATTTCTCTCTTTAATTGAATATATTGATTTCTTAACTGCCCATCCCCTCTTTTGATACTCCTATATATGTCTCTCTTTTGTCCAGTGAGATGTTTTAATCTATTGTTCATCTATTTGGGATCATTTTTGTTAGATCTAATTTCCCTACTCGGAACAAAAGTTGACTGAGCAGCTAGAACTATGCTCTGAAAAACGTCATATTGGCGGCTAACACCAGCTACCTGACCCATAGTCAGATCATCCCAATTTAGCCCACCCAGGTAATTTTTCAGTCCCATGAAATCAGCCAATCGAAAGTCTGAGACAGAGATTTGATTGCAGTTTACTGGGTAATTCCATAATATATTGAAACTAAGTGATTTGTGATTACTTTCCCCAAGCTCACAAACAGTTTTAAAAAGCAATCCTGAACTGTATCAAGAAAGTCACTAGACATAAGATTTTCTGTCAAATTGTTCCAATCAATTTGTCTAAAGTTAAAATCTCTGTGAGGGAAAAGTTCAATAGATAGGAGTAGAGATCCCAAAGAATGACCCTCCAACAAAGAGTTCGACGCTTTATCCACAAGGAGAACTTCCCTCGTCCCAATATCTTAAGCGACCTCCCCACAGAAGAAGAATGGATATCCACCAGAACCATTCTATGTCCAGTAACACGGACAAGCCCTCCCCATCTCCGGGTGACCCACCTCTATCAACCAACACCTCACAACTGACCTCGCTACATCTACTACTACAATACAGCAGGACACCACCTCAGTCACTGCCTTGCTGGCCGACTCCAGGTGAGCAACCAACCTCCATCGAATGCCCAGCAACCTTCGCCTACAGCTGCGCCTCCTGACCAACCTCTTGCGAAAAAAAAGAAAAAAAAAAGGCAATCAATTCTATACAGTATGCATCCTTCCAGTTCAATGACGCAGTGATAATATAGCATTGCATAATTGATAAGCAGGAGGTATACCCTACACACATAACCAACCTCTTCATAAATCACTTAATATGCACACATGCATACTCAAATTACACCAAAGTGGATAGGCCACTACCCTTTTATATCCCCACCTACCCCTCCTCCCTCCCCAACCTTTCCCAAACTTCCATCCTTACCCATCCTTCTTCCCCCACTCCCCTCTTACCAAAACTCTGGTCAGAACCTCATTGCCGGCTACTTGTTAAGGTAGGGTAAGTCAAGCTCCCGCTATTCCCACCTTTTTCCCCCACCCCGAAAGTGATAGTTTGACTGCCGGCTGCTTGTTAAGGTAGGGTCAGTCTAGCTCCTGCTATCCCTTCCCCTCCTTCCCCCCCCCCCCGAAAGGTGACGTGTGGGGCTCTGGTCAAACAGTAAATCACTCGACTCACAGCTCCCAGCACTACTGTAAGTACATGCCTGCCTTGTATTCTAGTGGATTTATTGGTTGAAAGCTTCACTTTTGACCAATAATAAACTTAGCCCTTTCAGTCTTGCTCTAGGTTGACTGTTGTAATAATCACCACATCTTTTAGGTATTGTACTTATCATGGAGAGTGATTTCTTAAGCAGTGGGTAACCTGTCTATCTTTCCAGCTTGGATGACAGAGAGGGTCACCTGCCAATCAACGAGCAGAACTGATG